AAGGAGGCCGTGTGTCATCCTGTACTCGGTATCGCATCGCTGTAAAAAAAAAAAAAAGAAGAAAAAGAAAAAAAACAAAGGAAAAGATAAAACACACATAAATAAATTGTGATCTTTCTCGTTTGGATGTTAAATAGGCTAAACAGGTTGTACAGTACGCACACGCACTTATACTATATTACAATCATCGGAGGAAACACCGTAGATACACTGTGTACATAAAGCGTATGTAACTGATAAGGATATTTTTTGTACGTAGTTAAATCTCGAAAAAAAAAGAAAACAAAAAAAAGAAAACTGCTCTCTGCCGTATATATGTATGATGTATGTATATGTATATCTGACTATAATTCGTTCCATAAAGTGATCTCCGTTGTACCTACTGTAAACCATGCATGAACTATGCCGAAGAAGAATAGAGAGGTCCGAACTCCATGCAGAATCGATCGTTCTCTTTTTTCTTTTTTTTTTTTTTCTTTCACTTGAAGCATCAGATCAGAGAATCAGGAGATCATTTCTCGGGGATGAAATTCGGAGCCATATCAGTTGTTGGGATAATTAATTCGAGCAATTCGAAGGAAAGGTGGCACAAATGGCAAGTTCTTTGATTTGGAAGAAAGGAAAAAAAAAAAAAAAAAACATCGAAACACAAAGTGAATGCGCAGATGAATACAGATTTTTATATTGCCTCCTGTGCTCATCCCTTTTTTACGAGACTTATACCACCTTTCCACTGAATGTTCCCGATTAATATGTACAACATTTCATTTACGTGCCACTGATAAAACTCGAGTATATACATCTGTCTTCTCCCTCTCTCTTACCGTGGCTTGAACTTTTCTTGAGGACACATTATTCGAGGGACATCGCCGGACAGATTACTTGTTAATCGCAACTGCTGACTCGTGTATTAGTAATAATTATCGTGTGTTAGTCCGTTAGTAGTCGTTTGATGCTGTAATCAGTAAACGAGGTTACAGGTGCGATTAAGAATTAGTTGGCTCCACTCTACCGATTGGGAATCGTTGAAATTGAATTTTAACGGGTCCTCTAATGTGCGTTTTCTTTCATTGCAATCGGTCTTTTGATTTAGACTGACATTTATCTCCATTTTCGGACAATACAACGCAAGACAGTACGAGGTAGAAATTATTAAAATCAAATGTATCAAAGTGTCTTCGTTCTTTTCTAATTTCAAAACTATTTCTAAAGACGATTCCCTTTCACTCTTCGAAGCGCGAAAAATACCAAAGTATACTTGTACGAATATTACTGACACAAAAGAAGGAAGGATAGTAGGGAGAAAAGGGAAACAAGAGGGAGGGAGATCAATTGGATGCACTAAAGCACGTTTCTCTTGGCAAATTCGCATGCAACTGCGTGAGAAGGAAATTCTTCGACGAACTGAGTTACTGTAATCGTCATATAGTAACTTAAAGACACGATCTCTAGGATAGTGTACGTCTAAACGAATAAGCCACGATGTTTAAGTATAGTAACGATATAGATTTTGTATACCGCGTGCGTGAGAATGTAGAGACGAGCATGACAGAGAGGACATTGTGCGTGCGAGCGCGCGTTACAGAATTTACGTTCAACAGGTTAATAAATCGTATTTTCGAAATAAAATCTAAACGAAGCTCTCTCTCTTCCCATCGTTCCCTGTCATTTTTCATAGAAATGTGTTTAGAAAATTTTCCAAACAGCACTACTGCTTATTATATACATATTGTGTACATACATTTCAGTTTCTGACTGAACGTATAAAGAAATAAAGCCCAGGATCCGAATGCGGCAAATTCAACTACGTCAGAAAGTCATAAGTAAATCCTAATTAATTATTTTTTGCAAACGAAAATTTGCAATTTGCAATTCTGTTCACTGTCTCTGTTCTTGTCTTACAATAGACTATTGCTCTCTTCGTCTCTCACATGAGATATATTTGTCCTTGTCTGGCACACGATCACTCTCCTTGTCTTATTAAATGCTGCCATCTGTTGGATTTTTCATTTTTGTCCTTTTAGTTCCAATCGAATTTGAGGGTAATCAGGTGGCAGCACGCGACATATATCTGTCTTTGTTGCACATTATTGCGTTCCTTGTCTACGATGGTGCTGGCATCTGACTACCTTTCAGTTTCGACTGGAACTAAAAGGATAAAGAGGTAAAATCCGATAGATGGCAGCGCAGTTGCAGACAAGGATGGCGATCACGTGAGACAAGAACAGAGATAGTGATTAGTTCTGTCATCTCACCGCTATGTGGCGGTAGCATTTCATTGTCCGAATTGACCAAAAGATTTTCATTCACAGAAAAAACTTCACAGTTAAAGAGATTAATTTATAAACTTTCATTATTAAATCTTTCTAACTGGACCTTGAGCTTTCTCCGTGCGTTCCATTCGAACTATAAAATGCACAAATAAAGATTTGTAAATTCTATTCAATAGATCGAAACAATATTTGTTTCTTCGTTCAAAATTTGGCTCAAAATTATTTATGAACATAGAGAATGAGGAAAACCTTAAGATTTCACGCACAATTTTGAATAGAAATCTTTGTTCAATCGATTTGTTATCAATAAATGTTCTACTATTGTACATCTTGCGCTCGATTTATGTTATAACAAATTAATTTAGAAACTTTTTTGCATTTAATATTCGACAGAAGATTCTATGCTAGATTCACAGACGTATTAATTCTATAAAATTACAGTACCACAAACTATTTCAATTGAAACCTATTTAGCTACAATTTAAAGAAATGTTATTATTTGTTCAGGTTTTTTAGTTGAAGGGCTGGTGGATAAACTCAAACGAATATCGCGTCGAGTCATTATATATTTGCGACTGTAAATACTCGTAATGATAATGCCTTCATTTTGCCCTTAATCAATTCATATCGTGAATTTTCCAAGTACACTAGCTAACCTAGCTTTTGCATGAACCCAGTCTACGACATAACCTATAATGCCTGATGAATAATAATGACAAACATCATTCGATTATAACCTCTTTCGATATTTTGTGTATGATGAATCTACAATGACTCAAACTTATGATAATTATTACAGTGAATTCCAAAAAAATGCAGAATTACAGCAGAATCTGAGATATAAGAAAAAGTACCGGAGATTAAAAAGGATCATAAAGGATACAGTATTCGTAAGATTATTTTTACTGTGATAATAATTCTTGCTTTCTACGTTGTACTATTGCTTTGGATAAAATATGAATGAAAGAACAGAATTTGATCACTGTACAAATTACAGATGAATTTCTGATTATAGGAAAATGCAGCATTGTGCGATCAAGTTGCACAAATGCAAGAAAATCTTATGCTTGTAAAAGAAGAGAGACTGTTCCTTTTACGTAAATTATGTCAGCAACAAGGGGATATAGATCCTTCTACGATGATAGCTCGATCTCAATCAAACAGTATTAATTCTAGTTCATTTAACCCAGAATGCTCTACACCTAAAAAGACTACAAAGAAAAGGATGTCAACAGAAGGCTCAGGTATTAAAATATTCTAAATTCAGATGTGCACAATTTAATATAAATTATACAATTTAATATAATTGCAAACAAAGTATGTATTAAAACAACTTAAAAAGGTAAATATGAGACTTTTAACTTTTCTTTTTAGAAACAAAAAATAAAGCCAAACGTTACAATAAAACTGCGAGAAAGGTGGTCCAATTAATACCATTAGATGTCCATGGAAGACCTATATTCCCTATTTCGTTAGGTGATCTTACTGTCTACTCCCTTGGAGAAGTAGTGACAGATAGAATAGCTTATCATACAGAGGATCTCATTTATCCAGTAGGTTATTGCAGCACCAGAGTATATGCTAATTTAAGAGATGTGAGAACAAAAAGTTTATACACATGTAAAATATTAGATGGTGGACCAAAACCAAGGTATATAGTGACAGTAATAATCAATATATAATTTTATTTACACATACACATAATTGTACATTTCAAATTACTTGCAGATTTGAAATTGTATCTGATAATGATCTAGATCAACCATTAGTTGGCTCTACCCCTGATGAATGTCATTCCAAGCTATTAATGGCAATTTCTCTTGCGCTTCGTTCAATAACACCAAAGGGGGCTGATTTCTTTGGAATTTCACATCCCACTGTACAAAATCTCATACAAAGCACACCTGGAACTCGTAAATTGGCCATTTACAAACAGCAACGCTTCGAAGTATGTAATTAAACGCTTTATATAATTAAAATGAAATTATATAAATGAAATTATCGTCAAATTTTAGGTAAGCAAAAATCAACCAATGGAAAGGGGGACTAGTCCGATAATGGAAGAAGAAACAGATCCAGGACTGGGATTTGCAGCTTTACATAGGCATTATGCTTTAGCAAATTCATACAGAATTAAAGAAGAACCATCTGATAACGATCTTTTAGCTCTTCAAGAACTTCTTTCGTGATTCATTATACTGTTAATAAGGAATTTTCTTTTCAGAAAAAAATAACATTTCGTTTTACATATTGGTATAATACATAAATTTTATCAAATATTCGTTTTTAAATCATGGATATATTAATTATTTACATCAGGCCTCTCAAATTGACGATGCTTGAGCCAACTATGGCTCATACCCTTCTTTGCAAGCCATATAGGAGAACAGCTTATCTACTTTATTCTGGACAAGCTCCACTATTATCCACTTTTTGTAACAAAAATACCTTTATTTTTCTAAATAAAGTAATATAAGAATGTATAATAATAATTAATTGTTGAGATTCCAGTCCAATTATAAATTATGAAAAGCTGGATTATGGATTATGAAAATGCATGGCTGCTAATACATGACATATATGAAAAGAAACTGTAGAAATGTATTTTTTCATAAATTGACAAGATTAAAAAGTTAAAGCAAATATGTGTAATAGTAGCTAGTCTGCATATGGTTACGGCCTGGAGGAATAGAGAGCCCTCCTGAAGGAGGGAAAGCTCCCTCTGCTACATCAAGTATTAAACTCATATGGCTTGCGAAGGAGAAGAAGTTCGACAGATCTGTTTTATGTGAAAGAAAAACTCTTAAAAACTAGTATATTCATTTCACTATTTTGTACTATTTATAAAATTATAGTGTATAAAGCAATTTATTTTTCATCTTATTGAAATAATGTATAAATAAATAACATAAAAGCTATTTACAGAATGTAATTTTGTAAATATTTACTTGCTGTATTGTAATTTTAGCTACATTATGCCATTGTAAAACTATATATTTTAAATAAATTTTACCTAAATGTCAATGTCAATATAATAAGTATTCATGTCATAAGAATATTTTTTGCTATCGTGTGAACATGATTAAATAAATTGACATTATTTTTAATTATAAATATTTATTTTACAATAATGTTGTGATTTAAGAGTTAAAAATAATAATATAGAATCAAATTATTGTAATATTATCTTCAAGTTTATTACATTGTATAAAGTAACACATTTTGACAAATCTGAATTGAATGAATAACTATATATAAATATAAATATGTATCAATTTTTCACAAAAAAAATTATTTTTAGTTGTGCAAATATTTAGGCAACTATATTTACATTTTTGTTTTTAATTGTATGATTTATAAAAAGTGTTAGGAATTTTATGCAATTAGTTTATCAAAGCATATTATTTTTTTCATATTTTAATAGTAATAATAAAAATGTATAAAACTTCCAGTAACTTTTGATCTCCTGTAATACAGTAAGGAACATTCTGATTTTTTTAAATGTTATTGAGTAATATTTACAAATATTCCTCACTGTAATTTGTTTCTGCATATCTACATACATAGTTTATGAATGCATTTCTATATACAAATAACGCTACGTACTAACTGTACGTAGATTACACCTAAAATTTTCTTTTCATTGTTGTAGAAAATGAATAAAATCTAAATCGCATTCACAGTCGTTCTAAGAACGTAAAATTTAACGTAAGAACATTAATTAAGCATATAACTAACGAAAAATAACAAAACGTGTGAAAAAGGAAACAATTTATCACTACATATTTATTATCCCATAGAAATTTGTTATATTCTCTTCTGTCACCGTCTATTTGTAGGTCCAATTGTTTTATTAAAGAGTGTGTTTGCAATAGCAATTACAGGAGAAAATAATTTTAATGGACAGTCACTAAAACAAAGAATAAAATATTACTGAACTGAATTAATTATTATATCTGTATATAATTTAGTGATATTAAAATATATACCACACTCCAGTCACAGGTATTGCTTCGTTTCCACTTACAATAAATAATGGAAACAATATAGAAAATACACAGCCACTAAAATAAAGAATAGTTTAATTATTAAAAGTCTTTGTCAAGAAAAAAAACAAATCATTTAAAATGATCAATTACCTTATTACATATGAACTGGGCATTTGGGTAAGTACTGCTAATGGCAGACCAAAACCCACAAAATATGGCCAGTTATTTTCTATAAAACTTAATCGTCTATGTAACTCCCAACCCATATTGAACCATTTGTATTCAAAAGCATAGAGAGCATATAAAAGGCACATATGTATAAGGGCAAGTATGTCACCTACAAGAGGTAATGGAATTCTGGATACCAACATGCCTTGACCCAAAAATAATGCTTGAACCAATATACTGAAAAGCGTGTCTGCTACAAGCTTGCTCACACTGGATAAAAGTAACGGCCTTCCTTGTCTATACCTATAAGCACTGTCCGCTATGTCCTACATGGTTTACAAATATATAGCAAGTGATATTAACTCCTTCAATGGTAACAGGCCAAAGCTTCTCGTTCTGAGAGCAAATAATTCATACCTGAAACCATAAACTGTTGACTATCCTACTGAGCACAAATAGTGGTAGCACCCATACAGTGCCAAAAGTTAATGACAGAAATGGTTTCATCCAAGACCACACAGTCATACCCATACCCGGTGAATGACCGAATATAATAGTCAATAAGTACTTGAAAAATGGGAGTAAACCACACTCAAAGATTAATATACTAGCCCAAAATACACCACCATTCAAAGCGCAACATTGAATTGTTCGTTTTAACACTTTTGATTCTCTGAAAGCGTATATCACATGTAACATAATATTAGAATTTTGATTAAAGTATATCTATTACTATATAATTTCATAATTCAACAATACCTTAACTGATTGAAATGTTTTGAAGAATGCGTTGCAACAACTATGTCCTTTCCATGGATTTCTTTAGAAGAGGGTTGTTTAAATAATTTTTCATTAATACGTTTATCCATATAAAATAGAACAATAGCACCTCTCAAGCTATCCACAAACCCTCGATATATGGCACGTATTATTCCCTAAAGTTACAACACATGTACTGTTATATAAATGTTTCATTTTAAAATAAAATTAATTTTCAGTTCTTAAATATATAAATGCACAATATAATATGTAGTATATAGGCATGCAAAATTTGTATTATCAGAAACATAAATGAAAAATGATGTATGGCCTATTTGACTGTGAATTTATACATAAACATGATCAAAAAAGAAAGGATTAATTATACTTAGAAAGGTTAGGAAGATATATTTTTTTCATTAAAAATGAAATTGATTACTCACTGTTACGTTATCCATATTTTACGACGAGATCCACAGTAGAATATAATTAATCTATAATCGGGATATATTGAACAATTTGCCAAAAAAACATTTTTGAAGTAACATAGTTGTCAATGTCAGGAGTAATGCAAAAATGCACTAAAAGTGAATATGAAAAGAATATTTATGATATCGGAGTAATTGAATTCTATAACATTTCAGACATGTACGTATCGTCATTTAATATTAATAAGAATATTTGACCGACAGATTTTCTTTCTTCCAAAGCGCAGAAATATGCGCTGCCAACTAAATTAGCGTGAAACTATTATTACGACGTTTCGTGAAATTACTTTAACAATGTATTTGTAAAAATATATCAATTTCATTGCAGTCAAAGGTCAACATTATGTTAATAGAGGTGTAAAGGTCGCTGTCGAATCTTTGATTTTCAATTAATCTTTACATTAACAATTAAAGCATATAAAAATTTTAAACTTTCAAAGTATTCGAATATTATATTTATTTATAAACATGAATAATAACTGCATGTACACTTGTCAGTTTTAAACAATATATTTTAACATACATATATATATTTATACATGTAAATATGTTGAAGTTCTTGACTTAATTTATAGATATAATCAGCAAGAAGATAATAATACTAGCAGAGAATAAATGAAGCCAAGTCTTTTGCTGTACTTGAAATTTACGTAATTTATCAACAAATGTTATTGCTGCACATATAAGAAATAGATTGAATAGATTTTCAATAATTTAACTCAAAAAGAAAATTGAACAAATATACGTAGGAACAGTTTCATCCTAAAATTTTTTATTTCTATTTTTCTTCAACTTCATCATTAAATAATCTGATTATTTGTTTGCTTAATTTTATTTTATATATAATGATAATATTACTTTTATCGAACGTGATAACAAATAAAAATATGACAATCGTTATTATTCATGTAAAATGATATAAAAAAATAAGAAATAAGATTTAGATTGATCGATCGTCGTTACTTATTTATAATTGATATCAATTAATTATTGATATTAATTGATATTAATTATTATTATTTTATTAATAATTACTCTATTGTTCGAGAAGCATAAAATTTAATAGCAAAAAATGAGAACTTGCTTAAAAAGTGGCATTTGTAAATCGCGCGATAATTTTGGAGTAACCTGTGTAACTCGAAGTATGACTTAACCTCTAATTACACTTTTACTTTTTACTTAATCGCAATTTTTAATTTATTAATAAACATTGCACTGACATATATTAGTTTACATTTATAAATTATTTCATTTTGTATGCGATGTACTTTAATACAATGCTTTCAAAAATGAATATAAGAATGAAACATATATTTTAATAAAAAACAATCATTCTGTGCAAATATATTATGCAAAATTTTTATTTATTTTTTGTTAATTATTAATATTTTTTGTTATTTTATCCAAGCAAACCCCAAGATAAGATTACATGGTGGCAGAGATCATATTTGGATACCTTTATACTGGGTAAATTTTTATTTATAGAAAAAGAAATTGAACTACAAGTTCTAAATTTATTAATACAATAAACGTTTGATTTAAAGGATTCAAATACAACAAATGTAGCTTCTTTCAATCAAAAGATCCCAGAAAAAATTTATCATCCGTTTAAAGGTGTTTTAATTTTTCTTTAAAA